AATTAACTTTTTAATTTCCGTGTTGTCATTTCTATGGTCTGACCTTTATAAGTAATATGTGTGTGTTTTGGTCGACGGCGCAGCTTGCACTCAGTGCTATCTCCAGCTCTCTCTCTGTCTCTCTCTGTCTCCTGACCTCAGCAGCAGCAGCAGCTGTCCTTGCTGACCCGTCCTGACGCCACTCGCCCCTCACCCCATCCACATGCAGGGACGGAACGTGTTAAGTTCGAGCGAGTAGGATCCACCAACTTCAGATTGATAACGACAATGTCTGGCAAACTGCGAGCATCATTTTTACGCGTGTTTTCCATTAAAGTTTTGAGAGACGCGGATGCCGACACAAAACCATTGGGACCGGGCTTTTGGGCGTACTGGCTGGCCGGCCATTCTAATGGGTGGTAATGGAGAAATTAGATATAAAATTAGAGAATTCAAATTAGAAATGTAATGGGAGTACACCACGTCTGACTTGAGTGATGCCTAGACAGACTAATTGACTGACTGTGGAACTGATCTGCATACATTTTTCATTCTCCAAATATTTATACATAAGTTCCGCCCCATAGATGCAGCATAAAATCGGTTCCCGTTCCATAAATGTATACATATTTTCCTTCCCCCATGTATGAATATACATGTCCCTTCCCATATATCTATACGATAAGTCAGCCTGCAAAAAGTTGATTATATAGGCTGATACTCCATGAAAATATTATTTATTTCGAGTTAAGACGAATGACGGAATGTGGCTCTTTGTCATTCAGAGAGAGAGAAAGAGAGAGAGAGAGAGAGAGAGAGAGAGAGAGAGAGAGAGAGAGAGAGAGAAGAGAGAGAGAGAGAGAGAGAGAGAGAGAAGAGAGAGAATAAAGAGAGAGAGAGAGAGAGAGAAGAGAGAGAGGAGAGAGAGAGAGAGAGAGAGAGGAGGAGAGAAGAGAGAGAGAGAGAGAGAGAGAGAGAGAGAGAGAGAGAGAGAGAGAGAGAGAGAGAGAGAGAGAGAGGAGAGAGAGAGAGAGAGGGAGAGAGAGAGAGGGAGAGATGGAGAGAGAGAGAGGGAGAGACGATATCGATGGATTCCGGGTGAGATGGGTGCTGTCGGAGAGAGAGATAGAGAGAGAGAGAGAGAGAGAGAGAAAGAGAGAGAGAGAGAGAGAGAGAGAGCGAGAGAGAGAGAGAGAGAGAGAGGCTAACCTCGCTATCAACATTCACTAGTCTGAAGTCTCATAATTTACTCGTCACAGTTTGGCAAAGTTAAATAAAACAAAAAATTACGAGAGCAAAACCAAAAAAAAAAGCAGACAGAGGACTGGACTGGACTGACAGAAACGTGCCAATAGACGGGCAAAAAAAAAAAAAAAAAGACACCAAACAATAAGAGTGGATAGACAGGGAATCAACCAATCCTCCTCTTTAGGTAGTACTTTTTATAACTCTGTGCACCATAGTACAAACGTTGACGTACTAACCAATAAGATAGTAGAATTCTGTACTATCCACCTCATAGAATCTTCCCTCCCCCCCTCCCCCCAAAAAATGAAGCTAAAAAACAAACTTAAATATTCCTAGGCCTATTATAGTACACATATGTACTATATTAGGCCTCAGATGGCGTATACTCGGCCTAAGAAGGTTAGGTTAGGTTACTTTGTCTTTGCAACGTAAATAGAAAATCTTTTCCGATTTGGCCAAATTCAAAGGTTCGATTTTTACTTTCTAAATGCGTTGTACGTCGGTATGTGTACTATGGTCCTCATCGTTACTATAAGTACAGCCAGAACAGGATGGATGGGCGGGGGGGGGGATGCATATGGACAGGTAAATTAGTAACGGACAGAAAAACAGACAGGGATTAGCCTCCAGACAGAAACACAGACAGGGATTAGCCTCCGGACAGAAACACAGACAGTGATTAGCCTCCAGACAGAATAAACAGACAGGGCTCAAGACACCAGACAGAAAAACAGACAGGGCTCAAGCCTCCAGACAGAATAAACAGACAGGGATCAGCCTCCAGACAGACTAAACACGCCCAACGAGAACGAGGTTAATAAACGAGTCGCATTCCGTTCCCGTCCGTCCCAAACCTTCCATTTTCCAATTTAGTTATTCGACATTTTTATCCTAACTTATCCTAGACTCGCGACACGAACCGCCTTTTTTAAATGCCGCTGGCTATTACAGACTTCAACAGCTGGTCATATTCGCAGTATTTGTTAGAAAAAAAAGTTACTATTATCAAATTTTTAAAGTTAGAATTACGAGGCTTTTTAAAAAAAAGTCACTTTTAGATATTTGTGTGAAGATTACGACATTTTGTTTAATGTTAATTTACATGTGTTTTAAAGATTAATATGTTTGTAATGTCAGCTTGCATTTGTTGCAAGATTTGAGATTTTTTTGTAAATGTTACATTGAATTTGTTTAAAGATCATGATACTTGAAAATCAATTTAATAACTGTAAAGTTCAAAGTTTAGATTATTATAAGCTTCTACAAGATTGACATTTTTTTCGTTAATTAAGGTTAATTTTTTTTTACGAAATAACACGAATTATTTATAGTAAAGAGGATGAGATTTGTTGGTACAGTTTCATTTTGTATTCGTTAGGAACAGTTTAATTGTTGATTGAACTTTAACGCTAACATCTTATTATAATAATAATAAGTTCAAATTACAATTTAAAGTTAATAACTTAAGAGGTGATAATTTTAAAGTTAGAATTCTAATTTTAAGATCACAATTGGTTAAATACGAATTTGTAAAAGGCTTCCCGTGGACTTTTAAAGTACGAAGGTTTAATATTTTAGTATCTTAGTAATAGTAGTAGTAGTAGGCATCCATCAGTCTCAGGAGACTATGGTGTTACGCTCTGGTTGTCGGTCTGGAGTGGCCTCACCAGGGCGTGAAGCCAGGGTAGGTTGATATGGGGGAGAAGCTGTTACCCATGCAGCAGGTCTCCCCCTCTCCACGGCGCCGAAAGTCTCCAATGGAAAGACAAACGCCGATACGATTGGTTCCAGCGGCGTCGCAGGAACTGTGAGCTCCGGGAATGACCTCGAAGTTGGTGAAAAAGGGCACAGGGACTCGAAACCCGGAGACCGCCGTTGTCGGGGCCGGAGAAGAAGCCAAAATACAAACATGTTTGCATTTGTGTTCCTCACGTGTTGCCCCAAAAGAATGAGATGATTTGATACAATATTATGCCCAAGATTACCATTAGAGCGCCGTCGGGATGGTTGGGTAAAGAGCTTCGGCTACCATCATCTTTTGAACGGTCGTGATGGTCGAGTGGTGAAGGTGTCCTGTACGCCAGATGCATAGTGCTCCTGGCAGTATGGGTTCGAGTCACTTCTGGGGTGTGAGTTTTCGGTTATATTATATATATATATATATATATATATATATATATATATATATATATATATATATATATATATATATATATATATATATATTAAAGCCTTTACAAACACACACCAACCCAAACAAACCCTACAGATGATTGATTGATTGACATACATTTATTTATTTATTTATTTATTTATTTATATATATACAAGAAGGTACATTGGGTTTGTGAGAATACATTGGATAGTACAGTATTTACACTCTTGTAAAGCCACTAGTACGCGCAGCGTTTCGGGCAGGTCCTTAATCTAGCAGATAATTTTAAGTAGGTAATTTCAATCAGAATTGATGAATGATAAAGATACATTACAAGAGAAAAATGAGATGAGAGAGATAAGTAGGCATATTAAAGCACATTGTTATATTAAAGCTCTGATTGATTACATTGACAGCTTGATTAGTAATTTAATCAAGGTTAATAGACACCATACAGCAGATTGACAGCACATATAAGACAGCAATGATCACAATGGTAAAGATGTTCAGATTGGGTACATAAAGATTGGGAGACTGGGTAGCAAAAGATTCAGATAAACAAGATTTATAAACACCATACAACAGATTGGCAGCACATATAAGAAAACAGCAATGATCACAATGGTAAAGATGTTCAAATTGGGAACATAAAGGTTGGGAGATTGGGTAGCAATTGATACAGTGCAATTTTAAGGCAAAAAGTGAAAACTATGAAGATGAAATTAGGAACTTTTTAGTATTGATTTTGAATGATGTAAAAGTTGGACAGCTTTTCAATTCAGTAGGGAGTGAGTTCCATAAACTGGGTCCCTTTATTTGCATAGAGTGTTTACACAGATTAAGTTTAACTCTGGGGATATCAAGGAGATATTTATTTCTGGTGTACATAACCACCAACACTACAACAATCCTCAGCCCCCCTAACCACCACCATTCCCTCCCCTACAATCCACTAAACCACCATCCCTCTCACCACCGCACCACCAACAAATCACCAACAGCAGGTCCTGGGAAATCTCCAACAATCCTCACCAGGCTTCAACAAAAATCTACCATTAATTAACTTTCGGCCTGGGAGGCACGGGCCGTCTTCATTTGCTTAAAACCTTCAGCGGGAGTTTTTGGGTCGGCATTAAATTTCTCGGTGGAGTCCTGGACCCCAACTTTGACGCCACTTGCCTGCTAACTCCTGCCCGCCGGGGACGCTAATGGTGATGATGGTGAGCACCCGGCAGTGGGGGTGTGGGTGATGGTGAGGGCGTGGGAGGTGTGGGTGATGGTGAGGGCGTGGGTGATGGTGAGGGTGTGGGTGATGGTGAGGGCGTGGGTGGTGTGGGTGATGGTGAGGTCGTGGGTGATGGTGAGGTCGTGGGTGATGGTGAGGGCGTGGGTGACAGTGAGGGCGTGGGTGATGGTGAGGGTGTGGGTGGTGGTGAGGGTGTGGGTGGTGTGGGTGATGGTGAGGGTGTGGGTGGTGTGAGTGATGGTAAGGATGTGGGTGATGGTGAAGGCGTGGGTGATGGTGAGGTCGTGGGTGGTGTGGGTGATGGTGAGGGCGTGGGTGATGGTGAAGGTGTGGGTGATGGTGAGGGTGTGGGTGATGGTGAGGGCGTGAATGATGGTGAGGGCGTGGGTGATGGTGAGGGCGTGGGTGGCACAGGTTAACGATAGTGGTATCAACAGAGCTGTTAACGGCAGAGATCAAAAGGGCCGCCAGTTGACGGACAAAACAGGTTTAATAAAGATGCCAGTTAACGCTGCAAGGTAACAGCCATTACTGAGGGCGTGGGTGAGATAACCCAGATGTCAGTTAATGGGGTGGAGTTTCCGCAAATCCCAGATAACAGGGCGGGGGTTAAGGTAAACCCCAGTTTACGGGGGAGTTTATCAAACCCCATAAACCTCTTACTCAAACTCTTCCTCCTCATTAACATGAACCCTATTCTTTCTCCTCCACTCCTCTTCCTCCTCCCTCTCTCCATCACCCTTTCCAAGTTTTCCCTCCCTTTCTCAACCCTTCTATCCTTTCCCACCCCTCCTTCTATCCTCCCCCCATCCCACCACCCCTTACCTTCCATACTTCCGTCCCTTTTCCTTCCACCTCCCCCGCCCTCTCCACCCTTTCCATTCCACATTCACCTCAGGCCTTTCTTCTCCCCCTTCCTCCTCCCCCCCCCCCTCCCCCGTTCCACGGCCTCATACACTAATTCCCGACCTGTGCCTTTTTCTCCACCAGTGTCAAAAGTTAGCTGCGCCATGTCAAAATTCGGGAACTAATTAGCAAATTACTTTTACATCTAGTTGGGGCTTAGTTCTTGATTTTTTTGGTACTCCCGCCCCCCCCTCTCCCCTCCTCCCTTACCCTCCCTCTTCCCCTCCTCCCTTCCCTCCTCCCCCAACTTCTCTCCCCTCTCCATCTGCTCCTCCATTAACTCACTCTCTCTTACATATGTTCTCTGCCTCTTCTCTCAACACTCTCTCTCTCTCCCACACGCCCCTCCATACGCGTCTTTATCCTGGATTTAATGTGGATTTGCGCAAATTCTGGACGGAGGAGAGAGAGAGAGAGAGAGAGAGAGAGAGAGAGAGAGAGAGAGAGAGAGAGAGAGAGAGAGAGAGAGAGAGAGAGAGAGAGAGAGGAGAGGAAGGCCTGTGGGATAATAATGGAAGGTGATGGTGTGTGTATGATGTGTAATGATTGTGTAGTGAATGTGGTGGGGGTCACCTACTTGATGGGCCGTGGAGGGAATGACACTTTTTGTAAGGATGGGGGGAGGGATGGGGAAGGGGGAGGACAGGGAATGGATGGAGTGCGGTGAGGGCGAATGAGGGCAGGAATGAGGTGTGATGAATATGGAAGAGAGGAGGGTTGAGAGTTGATAAGGAAGAGTGAAGGACTTGAGTAATTGAGCAGATATGAAAACTTGAAGCGTAAGGTGATATTGACTGAGGTGATGACGAGTAGTGTGTGGTGATGACGGGTAGTGAGTGGTGATGACGGGTAGTGTGTGGTGATGACGGGTAGTGTGTGGTGATGACGGGTAGTGTGTGGTGATGACGGGTAGTGAGTGGTGATGACGGGTAGTGAGTGGTGATGACGGGTAGTGAGTGGTGATGACGGGTAGTGTGTGGTGATGACGGGTAGTGTGTGGTGATGACGGGTAGTGAGTGGTGATGACGGGTAGTGAGTGGTGATGACGGGTAGTGTGTGGTGATGACGGGTAGTGTGTGGTGATGACGGGTAGTGAGTGGTGATGACGGGTAGTGAGTGGTGATGACGGGTAGTGTGTGGTGATGACGGTAGTGTGTGGTGATGACGGGTAGTGTGTGGTGATGACGGGTAGTGTGTGGTGATGACGGGTAGTGTGTGGTGATGACGGGTAGTGTGTGGTGATGACGGGTAGTGAGTGGTGATGACGGGTAGTGTGTGGTGATGACGGGTAGTGAGTGGTGATGACGGGTAGTGTGTGGTGATGACGGGTAGTGAGTGGTGATGACGGGTAGTGAGTGGTGATGACGGGTAGTGTGTGGTGATGACGGGTAGTGTGTGGTGATGACGGGTAGTGAGTGTGGTGATGACGGGTAGTGTGTGGTGATGACGGGTAATAAGTGGTGATGACGGGTAGTGAGTGGTGATGACGGGTAGTGTGTGGTAATGACGGGTAGTGTGTGGTGATGACGGGTAGTGTGTGGTGATGACGGGTAGTGTGTGGTGATGACGGGTAGTGTGTGGTAATGACGGGTAGTGTGTGGTGATGACGGGTAGTGTGTGGTGATGACGGGTAGTGTGTGGTGATGACGGGTAGTGAGTGGTGATGACGGGTAGCAAAGGAGAAGAAATGAAGGATATGAGAAAATACGGACTTCAGTTGCAACCAAATAATACCTCGGGTGCCGTAATATCGAGGTTACTGTCGCCCAATAAATGCGATAAAAATAACACCATATATAATAATAATAATAATTATAATAATTATAAGAATAATAATTATAATAATAATTATAATAATAATAATTATAATAATAATAATTATAATAATAATAATTATAATAATAATAATTATAATAATAATAATTATAATAATAATAATTATAATAATAATAATAATTATAATAATAATAATAATAATAATAAAACATACATAACAAAACAGCATAAACCTTAATATGTAAAACACAGTTGTAATGTTATCCAAAGCATGTTTATTATTATTATTATTATTATTATTATTATTATTATTATCTACCACAGACGTGGCCAGACATTTACAATGCTAAGCAGCATATATACATTTTCTTCTGTCCTCCATGGACAGGTTGAGAGATCTGTTAAACATATAGTTTCATTATCAATGCCAGAATCCGGTAGAGGAGCCTAGCTTCTCTCAAGAAGTAACTATTTACTTTACATGTGGAATGCACACACATGAGGGAGCAGCATTTCCTGCACCAGTTTCTCCCGGGGTCACGACCAGGGAAGAATCACTCATATGACCTCCCTTCACTCTCTTGACCAACCCGTCCTCTTAACAGAGCGTCGCATGTTGACGTATACTCTAAGGCCAAAAATCATCGTACTAGAACGTGGTCGCGGCTCGCGAAATTGACATTGTCCCGTGTTCTATTATGGGTTCTCTTGTAGGTAATGATAAGGGCACTTTAGTACTACAGTTTCTTGACGTTGGGAAACCTTGGGAGGACTGGCTGTGTTGAGACCAGAGGACGACATGCACACAAAGCTGCCAACACCTTAATGCAGCAGATCCAATCCCTGGATGGAAGACAGTTAATGCGATGAACGCCTTGAAGGGGCCAAGCTAGCAGTCATTCTTGGGGGTTCAATTCACATCGAACTCAATGGACACGAAATGTCCATTTCATGTCCGTTCGCCAATGGACGTGAAATACTTACCTAGCCTTACCCAACCTAACCTGACCGAGGCTAACACACCCTAGTCTAACCTAACATAGTCGAATATTGTCAAACCTAAACTAATACATCCTAATTTAACAATACATAGTTTTAACAGACACAAAACGAGGTTTGTCGAATCGTCTTGTGTACGATTTGACCATACTCCGTCTTCGTGCACGTCACCAGGTCGCTCGGTGCCTAACCCTTTGTCCTATGCTGACAAACGTCGTCCGCTCCTGTACCAGCCTGTGTATCACAAAAATCAAGGTGGATGGAATATATGGCTCCTTATGAGACCGAGGAAGGGTCTGTCGATCAATACCCTCATGAAATTGTTAGCTTAGCTAACAATTAGCTAACTTTCCTTAGGTTAGCTTTGCATTTTAAAAGCACCGAATCACCTTCTGTGGTTGATTGTTCAATAAACCCTTGAACAATATGTTTAACACATCTCTAACCCTGTCCATGGAGGACAGAAGAAAATGTATATATGCTGGTTAGCATTGTAAATGTGTGGCCACGTTTGTGGTAGAAAAAAAAATACCCTCATGAAGAAGAAATCAGCATTCTCAGAAGATCCGTGGAACCCATGCACAAAGGTTTGAGCGGCCAGAACTGAGGAGACCTAATGTTAGAGTTCGCTCAAAGCTCAGCCCAAGAAAACAAGTTTCACACACAAGATATAATTCGTTCTACAGTTGACCTAAGTGAAGCCAAGAATGGAATCGACGGGTCGCTTATGTGCAGGAAGCTCCTAAACACCCTGGGAGAGCATCTTTAGCACTATTAACTGCAACACTGCAAAGAATAATGCTAAAGACACTTCCCTGAGACGATTTCCTCCGGGTATATTAAAAGAGAATTTAAATGCATAAATTAATATATTTACCAAAGAGGTCTGGCCCTCAGATATAGTGCGCCGTGTCCCCTCCCCAACACTGCCGGCCAGTCAGGTTACCAATTCAAATAAAAGGAGAAGGTAATTGGTGAACCAATTAAGGTCTCCATGAGAAGGTAAAACACCTGGAGACGCTAAAACACCTGAAAGCAGGTGTTGTGGACAGTGTAGAGGCTGTCACAGTGGCCGAGCAGTGTGCCCAGCATGAACGTAACGGGCGCCTTTACAATGGTCTTTTCTTAGGAGGATCTTTCAATGTTTGGTTAACGTAATTTCAGCTGGTGGTGTGATCCCATTTTCTTTTCCACTTTCAGGTAGTGTCTTGGGCGGGCCTCGAACCCATGGCTGACCCCAGTCTAAGGTTCTCGTAGTACTGTATAATCTCATCAAGGCGTACACCTTACAATAGTCACTCATTCCACTTAAAATAGTCACTCATTCCACTTAAAATAGTCACTCATTCCACTTAAAATAGTCACTCATTCCACTTAAGATAGTTACTTATTCCACTCAAGTTACAAAAGACCACAGAATCCCTCGCTACATCCACTACAACCTATCCTAATCCATTACAAATAATAAATGCATTTTAGAGTTAGAAATTCACGTTTATTTACATAATAAAACTAAACATTACGTTGTATATTTTTTTCAGTTCGGAAACGCTTAGGTTTATTTTCACTAAATATACTGTATATCAACATATATCATGTCATTAACTAATGTTATTACCTAACAATATTTCGACTCCCACCCCCCTCTTTCTCTCTCTCTCTCTCTCTCTCTCTCTCTCTCTCTCTCTCTCTCTCTCTCTCTCTCTCTCTCTCTCTCTCTGTTATTCATGATTTCATTACTTACGTATTCACAACTGATTTTAAATTATATATTTCTGGCTTGAGTTCTCTACGCCCCTTTCGTTAGTGCTTTCCATCTCTCTCTCGCCCCTTACTCTTCAACACTCATTTCTACGCCCTCTTTTTTTCATGTCCAACTGCTCCCCTCACCCTAACCCTTTACTCTCCTCATTTTCCTTAATTCCTTCATACCCTCTCTCTTTCCCCCTCACCGTTCCCCTCTCTCCAGACACTCAGCAGTCCCCTCTCACTAGCTGTACTCATCATTCCCGCTCTCCAGACTCACTCATCACTTGCCTCTCTTTAGAGACACTCATCAGCCCCCTCTCTTTTCTGACACTAAAATCTTTCTCAATCCTTCCTTTTCTTTTACTCTCTGAGTTAAGGTTTCCTCTTCACTCTCTTTGTACTGTGAAAGACAGATCATAGACACTGTGCTCTTTCTCCCGTTCCTTCTTATCATGCCTTTTACTGCAGTTTCCGCCTCTCTCTCTCTCCTCCCTTCCCACTCACCTTGTGTTTCCCTCCTTGAAGGTACTCTTCCTCCACCCATACTACATCATAGTTACTTCACCATCATCATCGTCACCATCATCATCATCGTCACCATCACCTTCACAAAGATCACCATCTTGTGTTGCTGCCTTCTCTTCATCCTCTGTTCCCCCCCTTCACCCCTCTCTCTCTCTCTCTCCCCCAACACTCCTCCCTCTCCCCATCCTCTCCCCAACACTCCTCCCTCTCCCCATCCTCTCCCCCAACACTCCTCCCTCTCGCCAACACTCGTGGTAATTAGCTGGTGGCGTTTAACCGAGGTAATTCACTCAGCGGCATTAAAATGATTAGTTCATCCTGAATACTCTTAACGATGCGGCCCTACATAATAAGACAAGTCTCGCTCCGCTCTCACCTCCAACTTGGCCAGCATTACAAATTGGAGTGGTGGTGGTGGTGGTGGTGGTGGTGGTGGTGGTGGTTGTGGTGGTGGTGGTGGTGGGGGTGGTGGTGGTGGTGGTGGTGGTGGGGTGAGGGGTTATGGTGGTGGTGGGGTGAGGGGTTATGGTGGTGGTGGGGTGACGGGTTGTGGTGGTGGGGTGGTGATGGTGATCGTAGGGAAAGAAACAGTGGGTAGTGGAGAAAGGCTACTTACAATAAGTTATCAAACACTCGGGGCAGCGCAGTAGATCATAAACAAATGGACGACAATGTTACAATAGATCAAGAGTCACACTCAAAATAATTGGTACACTTCTTTTCTATACCTACAAACACCCGTACAATATGAAGGTGTGTGGGACAATATTGTGTTGAGTCTGCTCTAGTTTTGCAGGATTAATGCAGAGGGAAACCAGCTGTTGGTGCTGCTGGTCGGTTTATGGCCCCGGTAGGCGAAGCAACAATGGGTGATGTAGTATCCCCTGAATGCACTGCAAATAGAAAACTGGGTCGTGCTTGCTTTTACACTCACACACACACTAACACACAACACACTCACACACACACTAACACACAACACACTCACACACACACTAACACACAACACACTCACACACACACTAACACACAACACACACGGGATAGACTAGACTCAAGTGGCAGGAAGCCGAACATTCCCGCAAGAGGGAAAGGTTGCAGGGGTCGGAGAGAGAGACGTGGGCCACACACACACACACAGAAGACGTGTGTAGTGACAGGGAGGAGAGGTAGTCACTGGACAAGTAGCCTGGGTGGTCAGTGGATCACGCACACCGCCTTCACAAGCAACATACCACTGTGCCGAGGACTATACACGACTGGGCAAGATAAACTATAGCTTGTCCACAAGCGGAACCCTACTTACGACACCATGTCCCTGAGTTAAGAACATAAGAACAAAGGTAACTGCGGAAGGCCTATTGGCCCATACGAGGCAGCTCCTATTTACAACCACCCAATCCCATTCAAAGTTGTGCTCCCGTCCGCTTGCTCTCACCCCTACACGACAACTTACCGAAGCACGACCACAAGGATGCTCGCCCTCTTGGAGGGGAAACAAACACTACCAGCCAATCAGAAGTGTACCTAGTGACAGAGCGTCTCTGCAATAGGCTGAGGCCCTCTGACTACAATACCATAAACGCTGCTTCAGGGAGGCAGACAACCTGGCGCCTACCTCTTAATAACTGTCACTCGCCATGCAACAATATCTCACAGGTCATCTCCCTCAAATACGAGTCAACACGACATTAGACGCTCAACAATAATAATGAATGACATAATCACTGGCATTATACCAGCACTCGTGGCATGGGGCAGTGAAGTCACAAAATAATTTGTTGCTAATTAATGCTCTTAAGGGTTTCTTACTTAATTCTCACAACATTCTTAAAGATCCACTTTTTCTCCCCTGACATTGGGGAGGGATCTCCTTAAGTGGGGAGGAAGGGTGGATGGTGGTGGATGGTGGGGGATGGTGGGGGATGGTGGTGGATGGTGGGGGATGTGGAGCGGTATGAGGGAGGAAAGTGTAATGTTGGGTGAGAGATTGTGAATGTGCTTGTGTACTGCTTATATTAGTGTGTGTGTGTGTGTGTGTGTGTGTGTGTGTGTGTGTGTGTGTGTGTGTGTGTGTGTGCGTGCGTGCGTGTGTGTGTGTGTGTGTGTGTGTGTGTGTGTGTGTGTGTGTGTGTGTCTGTGTGTGTGTGTGTGTGTGTGTGTGTGTGTGTGTGTGTGTGTGTCTGTGTGTGTGTGTCTGTGTGTGTGTGTGTGTGTCTGTGTGTGTGTGTGTGTGTCTGTGTGTGTGTGTGTGTGTGTGTGTGTGTCTGTGTGTGTGTGTGTGTGTGTGTGTGTGTGTGTGTGTGTGTGTGTCTGTGTGTGTGTGTGTGTGTCTGTGTGTGTGTGTGTGTGTCTGTGTGTGTGTGTGTGTGTCTGTGTGTACACTCACCTATTTGGGCCTCCACCACCTTCTCACTTGACTTGGTCCAACTAACCCTGTCCATGGAGGACAGAAGAAAATGTATATATGATGGTTAGCATTGTAAATGTGTGGCCACGTCTGTGGTAGAAAATAATAATAATAAAAAAAAACTCTTGTTTGCAAAAGAAAACTCTCAAATATTCTGTCGGTCCCTTTATTTCTTTAGCTTGAATCTATGACCTCTTTCTTCTCCAGGTTGCCGGTTACAGGAATTCTTCTGTCAATTTGGTAGATTCCTGTTATTATTTTGTAAGTGGTGATCATATCTCTTCTTTTTCTTCTAGCTTTGGAACATTTAACGCCCCGAGCGTCTCTTCGAAACTCCTGCTTTTGTGTGTGTGGGTGTGCGTGTGAGCGAGGGAGCGAGCAATCACCTCGCTGTTCTCTCCTAGATGTGTGTGTGTGGGGATTTGGACTTCATACAGTACCTGGACCCGCCTCTTTAATATTCTATCGGCAGTCCTAATCAGAGCTGGGATTGATTATATCTACTTTTGACCCACATAATAATAATAATAATAATAATAATAATACGCTGCCTCAGCGTTTTATAACTATAAATATAAATTTATAACTATAATCCAAAAAATTAATAATATTATTATTATTATTACAACAACATGACACTGTATGTAACAGTTCACATTTATGGTTTATAGGTAATGTTTGCATGGAGTCTCTTAATTGAGCACATGCCATGCACTATGAAACTCGCTTACTGTTGCAAACGTTCCTTCTCAATCTCTCTCTCTCAGTGTTCAGTTTCCATCTTTATTTCCGTGTCGTGGATCACCCCATTTAATGTAATCTGTCCTTCCTTACGTAAATCTTGGGTCCCGTGTTGGCTACTCGGCGAGGGGGGGGGGAGGGACTTGTAAACTAGGCCATAAGAACAGAAGAAAGATATGTAGCGCATCTGTGTGTCAAATTTCTTTGTATCACAAAGCGCCACTTTCTTCTTGCTCGTCACAAAGTGGAGAAGAACCTCCCCTTCAGTGGTCCTAGGGGGGGGGGAGGTTCCTAGTGTGTATCACCAGCACCCTGTGGGTGAGGATTTACACTACTGAATTTAATTAAAATAAATTTAAGAAACAGGATGAGCAGAGTAGTACTTTTTCTCCCTGATAACTCGCTCTGGTTATTTAGCGCCGTCATAACCGCAAATTTAGTGCCGTCTTCCCAAAGTAGGCTCCCTTGGCGCAGCGGTCTACGTCCTCTACTCACAACCAAGGATCCCGGGGTCGCTCCCTTGCATGGGAAAGAGACGGTTGGGCATGAGTCCTTTCACCTCATGCCTCTATCTAGGAGTAGTACCTGGGAATTATTCAACTGTTGTGGATTACCTCCTAGGGGACAGGTCGCCAGCACCTGGCCTAGAGGAACCTTAACAGGCAGGGGGGGGGGGGGGGAATAGCCTAACCCTGGAAACACAAACCGTAATTGTCTCTATTTTCCGCTTGTTGCAACTTGTAATAAAGTTGTTACATCTTGGCTTAACGTGTTTATGACGTATTAGAACGTTGTTACAACTTGCTATATTAGTTGTTATAACTGGTTAGGAGGTGTTAAAACTTGTTCGAACGTTGTACCAACGTCGTAGTTTCGGTGTGTGTTTGATGGGAAGCTACTCTATCCCTTTAAGATGTATTTTATCGTCTCAATAAACATACTTGAACCTTAATCAGCCTTCCAGTGGCCGCCTATGAGAAACCAGAAGATGACCCCAAAGACACAAACACACATCCGCTATGTACAGGCGGTGAGTCACAATAACGTGGCTGAAGTATGTTGACCAGACCACACACTAGAAAATGAAGGGACGACGACGTTTCGATCCGTCCTGGACCATTCTCAAGTCGATTGTCTTCATTTTCTAGTGTGTGGATGGGTCAACATCCGCTATGTACTGTATGGGAAAAGCAACCGTAAAGCCTGAGTGGAGACACCCCACACCCCCTTAAGTTAGGGGTTGGGGGTGCGGAGTGCCTCCACTCAGGGATGGCACTCTACTTTCTACTTTCTACCACTCACTCTACTTCCCTTTCTGCCTCACCGCGAAAGATTGCACCACATCTTTCCCTGAATATTTCTGAGTTATGTTGACTGCTAACGTTCCTTGACCTCTGTATTAAAGCTTTCATGTAAATAATCTTGAGCGGGGAAAAAGTTCCACCGTCTCTGGCTCACCTCTACCTTAACAAACTTTTAATTAACTTTAAACGCCTTTTCTCGCTCTGCACTTCACTTCTCCATTTAAATAATTGCTAAAAGTTTTAATGGCGTCTTACCCTGTGGTGGCTCCTGTCTCCTTTAAGGACTTATGAATGCAGGGGGACTATTCCAGCTTTCATTTTATTCACTTGGATCATTCCTTCTTTCATTTCCACCCTGTAACTAAATTTCCTCTCAGTTCTAAACGCGATTAACGCTGATCAAATGTCCCCATTTCTGCCTTCTTAATACCTGTGACTAAATTTATATCCTCGAGTAATTAATTATTCCCCCATTTGTGCCCTCCAGTAACTAATTATTCCCCCATTTGTGCCCTCCAGTAACTAATTATTCCCCCATTTGTACCCTCCAGTAACTAATTATTCCCCCATTTGTGCCCTCCAGTAACTAATTATTCCCCCATTTGTACCCTCTAGTAACTAATTATTCCCCCATTTCTACCCTGTGGCTAATTTTTCTTTTCCCCTGCACCTACAGGTGAGAAGCCGCACAAGTGCACGGTGTGCGGGAAGGCGTTCAGCCAGTCGTCGAACCTCATCACCCACAGCAGGAAACACACGGGTTTCAAGCCCTTCTCCTGCGACCTGTGCGGACGGGCGTTCCAGCGCAAGGTGGACCTCCGTCGGCACAAGGAGACCCAGCACACCGACCTCCGCGCCCAGCAGGTCACCGACATGCGTTCCCCCGTCGCCGAGATGAGGTCGCAAGTCACAGACATGAGGTCGCCGATCCCGGATATGAGGTCGCAAATGACGGACATGAGGTCGCAGATGTCCGAGATCAGGTCACAGATGTCGGATGTCAGGTCGCAGCAGCAGCAGCAGGTGCCGGAGGTCCGCAGCCCCGCCACTGGTCTGAGGACTCACGTTGGGGACCTCCACCCGCATGTCAGCGACGTCAGAAGTCAGCTCACTACGCACGTCACTGACATCAGGAACCCAATCGGCGACATCCGACCCTCGCTCAACGACATCAGATCGCCGGTCAGCGACACCAGGCCACAGGTCACGGAGATTCGGTCTAAGGTCAGCGAGAATGGGTCATCCGGGGCCGGCAGTGACCTCAGAGGAACACCAATACCGGATTTTAGGTCACAAGTGCTTGACCTCCGACCCCCAGAACTGCGGCCTGTCAGTTAGGTTTTGCTGGACTAGTCAACTGTGATCTCTGCTACACCTAACCTAACCAGCAGTTGCTGAGGCAGTCTCTTCCCGCTGTGACCTAGACAAGCGTCTGTAGTAATTTCCTCAAGCTGTACTGACCTCCTTCAGCTGTTATGACACCCATCTCCAGCTGTTGTGGTGACCTCCAATTAATGCAGTGAACCCTCAACAGCTGCCGTAAGGTGTTGAGCGTCCCGCACAAAACGCAATCCCTGAAATGCTATCGGATTTATTTTTGAATCCGGATCATTCTAGGGTCATTATCCGGCTCATCTCTAGCACTTGGCAAGGAGAGCCGCCGGAAAGCTGAGGAGCAGCGGAAGTACCCAACATGCGCTGTGAGGCCCAGTTGAGTGTTGAGACAAATAGCCTAATAAAAGTGGTGTGGACCAGTTGAATGCTGAGAAAAATGGACCATAATGGGGGCGGTGTTGACCAGTGAGGAGCTGAGGCAAGAAGACTGACACGAGTGATATAGGTTAGTCCAGCAGGGCCAACTTTCCATCACCCGCACCGTAGTTCCAGGGTGACCAACCCGAAGAAACCTTTACCCTTAAAGTCGATAGTTGTAAACATTCACTTTAAAAGTGTGGGAGGTCGTGCAGAAGATGAGAGCGGCCCCGACCCCGCCCGGCCTCAGCTGGTCACCGCCCGCGGCGTCAACTGGTCACACTCCAGGATATCAGGAGTGCCAACTTCCTGGCGACCCGTCAGGTGGCGAGGGCGCTCCTGCCACGGGTCTTACTCCCCACAACTATTCTCCCGTGCTACGGCCTGGTTCCTGGCTAAGGAAGGTGGCGCCCAGACTAACGATACAAGTGTCTCGCTAATCGCCACCAACAAAACTGACCAAAGACAATGCCAAATAAAGGATTTTATTACACTTTATCTTTTAAAAACTACCACAAACATCATATTTCTATGACTGGCAGACTTCTAGAGTTTTGTCGTCAGACAAGGTTTCTCAACAACGAATTTAGTGGGTAGGTGTGATTTACAGCAGTTATCCCCTCGAGAAACGCGCGTTTTCCTTCTAGCTGGACCTCGGGTCGTTGGCAGCTGTTGTTAGGATCGTTAGCCAACTAGCGAGGAAACGACAGGTGTCGCCACTCACAGGTCAACACCCCGAGTCTCTTCGAGCATCGCTCACAACACCTGTGGTTAGACTTTAACTGTTCGTGTTATCTTCATTTGTAAGTGTTGCATTCATCTTTAAATGTTCCTATATTTTAAATCTCACACATCACTTCCTTTTCGTCGTGCATGGACTGAATTCTGGACCAGACCCCTTCCTTCCTTCCTTCAGGAATTTCCTTCAGGAACTCACAGCCCCAAGGCCCAGTGGGCCAAACAACCCTCCCCTCCCCTATGAGGTACTCACAGCGGACCCGATACACTTAAGTACCTGTACTGACATTACCCTCTAGCAGTGGACAAGAGCTCCCTTCAGGAAATGGAACCCCCCCCCCCTGTACCAGCGGAATAGATTGACTGAAGGAACTGGCCATCATTCCTCCCTCCCCCTCCACAACGTAATGACAGTCTTGAGTCATGTCGACACCTCCACGCCTCCGACTTCCACAACACCTTGTAAATATTACCAACTCTCCCAGACAGACGCCAAAGAACGAGACACCTCACATCCTTCTGAACGATATCACTATATACGGCTCCACCTGATATATATATATATATATATGTTGCACCTAATAGCCAGAACGCACTACTCGGCCAAGTATGCAAGGCCCGATTTGCCTAGTAGGCAAATTTTCGTTATTTTCAAACAATTGTTTCCAATTGCTTTATTTGAATTAATATTATTATATTAAGAACATGAATTACTGACCTAATTATGTTAGCTTAGCATAGATTAATAAGATAGGTTAGGTTAGGTTAGGTAGGGTAGGTTTGGTCATATTTCTACTTTAGTTATAACTCAAATTAAAAAGAATGAACTCATATATAATGTAATGTAATGGAAAACTTTATCATTTCATAAGAAAAAAATTAGAAAAATATATAACTTCAGGAAAACCTGGCTTATTAGGCAAATCGGGCCTTGCATAGTAGGCCGAGTAGTGCAATCTGGCTATTAGGTATATATATATATATATATATATATATATATATATATATATATATATATATATATATATATATATATATATATATATATCAGATGTCAGCCTCCTCCAGCAACAAGTGGTGTACCAGAATCCAATACCATGAGCTTTATCATCAAATAACCTTATAAGCGAGAAGGACAGGATCATGCAGTCACTTAATCCTATGTGGGAACCGAGGTTAAACTACCTGACACACACACACACACACACACACACACACACACACACACACACACACACACACACACACACACACACACACACACACACACGCGCGCGCACACACACTACGAATTTTAAGATCAACAAGCAATGACAAAAATAATAAAAAAAATTTTTTTATTTAACAAAATGGAAGGGGAGAAAAAGAGAGAGATCAAAGGAGAAGGGCAGAACTAATTTGAAAGGGGGGCCACGACGAATAAAAGAGGGGGGCCACGACGAATAAAAGAGGGGGGCCACGACGAATAAAAGAGAGGGCCACGATGAATTAAAGAGGGGGGCCACGACGAATAAAAGAGGGGGCCACCACGAATAAAAGAGGGGGGCACGACGAATAAAAGAGGGGGGCCACGACGAATAAAAGAGGGGGGGGCCACGACGAATAAAAGAGGGGGCACAATAAATTAGAAAGGGGGCCCCGACGAATAAAAGAAGGGGCCACCATGAATTAGAAAGGGAGCTGCCACGACGAATTACATGAGGCACAAATAATTGCAGAGGGGGATGAAAGAGCTGGAGAGGGGGGATTCAGAACGAAAGGAAGAGGGGGTGCAGGACGAATATGAGAGGGGCGAAGACCGAATGAGAGGGGAGGGCACAACATACTAAAGAGGGGGTGTTGAAGGAATAAAACGAAAATTTGGAGACAACGAATAGGATAGTGATGAAACATGGGTCAGAATAAGCGTGTGTGTGTGTGTGTGTGTGTGTGTGTGTGTGTGTGTGAGAGAGAGAGAGAGAGAGAGAGAGAGAGAGAGAGAGAGAGAGAGAGAGAGAGAGAGAGAGAGAGAGAGAGAGAGAGAGAGAGAGAGAGAGAGAGAGAGAGAGAGAGAGAATCAGAAACAACACACTACAACTCCTTGCTAAAACATGCAAAATATTTATCACACACACACACACACATTTATATATATATATATATATATATATATATATATATATATATATATATATATATATATATATATGAAACATATTTAAATAGACTTACAACTTTAAAAAAAAAATCAGGTCAGAGTTCAAAGAAATGCTTTAATTCTATAAATAACCTAATATTAAAGAACAACATACACATCTTAATACAAACTTTACACACAAATTCAATAAGAAAGAGTTCTTGAAAAATACCGCAAATGTAATTCAAATTCCCCCGGCTTGTTATTCTCCCTACAGCATGATCTCGGCCCTTCACAACCTCCGTCATAACAATATTACAACCCCAAAAAAATGTAATAAGTTGCCCAAGCCTAATTTTGGACTTTAATAACCTCCTGCCCTTTGGCTTCTCCCAGCAATCTGAGTGTCTAGTGAGCCATCATTATCCGTTATCCTGGTTATCCTAGTATGGATGTCTCTATATAGAAACAGAAGTCTTGTATCCTGCCATTATGTAATGTAAAGAATTTTATTAGAGTTATTGATGCAATGCGTGTACTTTTGTTTAATAAAATATTATATAAAAATATCGTCTTTTGATCAAAAATATTCCCCTTTCCCCAGATACTCACAGCATTATATATATATATATATTATATATATATATATATATATAAAATGCTGTGTTGTTGGTGCCTGCAGCTTCCAGTGTTGTTACACAGTGAGGGATGTCCTCTGCTCACACTATGAATCCAGGTTCAATTCCCGTGCACGACAGAAACGATTGGGAACGTTTCCTTTCCCACGAAGCGGCTGTTTACCTAGCAGTAAAATAAATACCCCGGGAATTAGGCAACTGTTAAGGGTTGCCTCCTGGGAAAGGTCAGAAGTTGATCTAGAGGGGACCTCAATAGGTCACCTTAATACAGGCTTCCTGTCGGCCCCAACAACGGCAATCATGTTTGGGGAAATTCTCCACCACTTGGCTTCCCTTCACCACTATCCGGGATAGGCGGCCTCACTGTCCTATCCCCAGATCCGGCTAGACTAACCACCGTCTGTCCCTGATGTCACCCACAACATTTGCCTAGCTCCCGGGTACCTATTTACTATTAATAAGTAAGCTGAGGCATTGAATGGAAGAAAACGTGCTCAAAATTCGCGTTCTGTCCTGAAATCAAATTCGGGACCATTGGATTGTGAAGCGACTTTGCTGCCACTGCGCGCTGTTTGAGATGCTGGCACTGTTCCTTGAGACGAGGAACAAGAAGCCACCAGATGCTACACAGTTATACCGTCATACACCAGCAAAAAGCCACTAAATCAATTTTAATTCAAGACCAACACAATTATAAAAGACCGCAAAGTACCTGCCCCAAAAAATAAAAAAGTAAAGTGCATTTCATTTGTATGAAAAGTCAAACAGAATTTACTAGTAATTGTAACACCAGGTAATTTATGGTTTATATATCAGGAAAAAGCTCTTGATATACCAAGTGCCTGCAATAAAGGCCTCAAATTATCAGGACACTGAAATAAACATTAAAACTAAGCATGACTCGATCGTAAAACAGTCACCTGAAGCCTGACGCCTTATGTAGAGAGCAACAGTAAAGGGTCTCGAATTGCCTTTGTATGGATACCATCACACACAAACATAACCCATCATAATGAGGCAGACATTGCAGCCAAATTAGCGTGTAACAAAGATGAAGTTGAATTAGATCTAGGTATCCCCATCTCTATGGTCAAAACTATATTGGTCCAAACACTCAGATCTGATAGGAAAGAAATTACCGACTCTCAACGACCTGAAAGCACTAGTATAAAAAGGTACGATTTGTTCAGATCTGAAACCTATATCTATGGGCAGCACAAAACGTCCACTAGACTGTGCGACACAGTGGTTGCCAGGATCAGGTTACGTTACCGTTACCTGTGGCAGGTGGCTACAGGTGACGGATCTCCCAATCCTGAGCACTCCAGGTGCAAACTCTATGAGCAAGAACTACGGCATGATCTCCCACACTACATCACTGAATGCCCAGTTATTAGACCTTTCAGACCAGTTGGCATGAGGTACCTGGAGCTTTGCAATTACTTTATTCACTCTCGTGTTCTTGAAGATATCCTCACAGTGTACCCAAAATTTAACAGTGCAGGCTACTAAA